TTCATTTTAATCTTCTTTTTCCCTTTTTTATTGTTGTCAAAAGGGGGAGTAATATCATTTTTGTGTTGCTTGTGTTGCTTTGTGTTTGTGTTGTCTTATTTTTGTGTTATCTTGTGTTGTTTGTGTTTGCATTTGAATTTTTTTTTAATTTTTTGTTATTTATGTTGTATATGTTTTAAAAATTTAAAAAAAAAATTGTGTTCTTCATGAAATTTCCTAATATTCATATGTTTATTTTTTTAGGGGGAACTAAAGAGAAATTTAGGGTATTCAAGTTCACTCGAATAATAATTATTTTACCATCATCAAAAAGGGAAAGATTATTGAAATAGTTGTAATCTAATTTTTTTATTGTTGATATTCTTGCAACAAATATATTTTTTATGAAATATTATTATTTTTAATTACAATTTCTACTAACATATTTTGGATGTATTGTTTTATTATTTGTGTATATTAATATTTTAGTGAAATCATACTACATATTATTAAAGACTTCAAATGAGATCAGTTTAAGGTTTATTATAAATGAAGTCTGTATTTTTCTTTTTATTGAGTTTGAGAGAGTGATTATAATTTTGTAATTGTGCATACACACAGTGAGAGTGTTTAAAATTTGCAATTTTAAACTGATCATATTGTACGAAGTAATTTTATACTTGATGATTTGTTCAGTTATTTTCTCATACGAGTAGTCAAACGAATAAAAGGTAAAAAAAATTGCTAAGTATAAATTGTATTGTATGATATCCCATTAGTACGTACGCCATCTAGTGAAAGAATTGGGCGGGTCCTTTTTCATCCTAAAGAATTAAAAGTTTATCTGAACGATTTTTACAGTACTATGTCGTCATCGTACGTACGTCGTCTAGTGTATGAGTTGGACGGGTCCCTTTTTGTCCAAACAAACTTGAAATTTTTTTGAACTGTTCATACTATACGATGTCGTCATCGAACATACGTCGTCTAGTGTACGAGTTGGACGGGTCCCTATTCATCCCGATGAACTTGAAAATTTTTTGAACTAATCATACCATACAATGTCATCAGCATACATACGCCATCCAAAGTATGAAAATGTGGGGTCTCTCTTTGTCTCGACGAAGATGAAAAAATTTATATTTTTTTTTATTCGTAATGTACGAACTTGGTTCGTACAAGATGATCATCATGTACAAAGTCATTTTCTATATATTCATAACAGGTTCGTACGCATCATTTTTTGAACTATTTGTACGCACTAATATATGATCATATTGTACAATTGTACACTATCAAAATAAAAATTTTCAATTTTTTGGATGGTTTTTCATGTCTTGCATATAAAAGGTCTTTTAAAACTAACGTGTGAAAGGTCCTTCATGATTTTTCATGAGCAAGTAAAATAGTGCATTTGGGAGTGTGTTTGAGAGAGATTTATTGCAAGAGAAGTGTGAAGGGTTCACAAGATTACTTAAAGAAAAGGATCTCTTTGTATTTTTTATTGCAACTCTCTTTTCTTCTTTCTAGTTGCTCAAGGGATGATCTTTGAAGTAAGACGATGATACTCTGCTGACACTTAGAGGGTATGAACAGACAATGATACTCTGCCGACACTTGGAGGGTGTGAAAGGATGATGGTACTCTGCCGACACTTGGAGGGTGTAAAAGGGCGACGGTTCTCTTCCAACACTTATAGCGTGTAAAAAGACGATAGTTCTCTGCTGACACTTGGAGGGTGTGAAAGGACGATGATTCTCTGCCGCACCAAGGATTAGTGGAAGAGAGGTTTTTTAAAGGCTTCTCCACCTTATTGTGCGAGAAAAACGAGAGTCACTTTGGTAATAGTGCAACACCTGAAGAGGGAGTCTTCAGTGAGTGGATGTAGGTCGTGTTTGACCAAACCACTATAAATCTGTCTTTTAATTTCCGCATTTATTTTCTGCAATTTAATTATTGTGGTTGAAAAGCTTATTTTTAAATTAAAAGAAAATTGCTGAAAATGTTTAAAAGGTTTTCTATTTAAAAATCCAAGATAAATTTTAAATAACCAATTCACCCCTCCCCCCTTTTGGTTAGCCATGGGACAATAGCTTAAGTTAAACAACCTATACGAAATCAACATGAACTCCCTCACACAACCCTTAACTTCCAAAGAACAACCTCGCATCCTCTCCTTCACACCCAATTAAATTGGATAAACTCTCTTAAGGAGAAATTCTTATTCTTTCCCAAAGGACTCTTTGCCAGGAAAAACGGCTCTAGTTACTCACCTCAGACAAAATTGATATGAAAGAATTAGAATTAAATATTTAAATTAAACACTACTTTTTATTTTTGATATACTCATCTTATAATACGAGTGTGAATCATCATGTAGGATTTGTTTAATGCCCATTTTTTAGTTTTATTAGGTTAGATAGTACAATATGAATCTTATATATTATAGTATGGTTTCACCAAGTATATATTTTCCTATTTAAATTAGATTATATCAAGGATCATCTTTAAACTCTTTTTTTTTTTTAGTCATGGAAGTTCTAACTAAACATTTGTAAGAGGATGTACCCTGCTGTATGCTTTTTACTATTGATATTCTTCTTGTTGATAATACTAGAGAGGAAGTTGAAACAAAACTTGAATTATGGAAGTCAACCATAGAGTCTAAAGGATTTCATTCAATAGATATAAAGGCAAATACATTAAGTGTAATTTTAGTAGTAATAGGTCTAGTGGGGAGATTGTTATTTTGGGAAGTCAAGTCATTAAAAAAGTACAACTTTTAGATATCTTGGGTCTATTATTCAATGTGATGGTGAAATAGATGGGAATATTATCAGTATAATTCAAGTTGGATTGGTGAAGTGGAGGAATGCATCGGGCTTATTGTGTAATAGAGAAGTACCCCTTAAATTTAAGAAAAGTTCTATAAGATGGTGGTGAGACCTGTAATGTTTTATGGCTCATAATATTGTTCAAAAAAAGAGAAGAAAAAAATAAAGTTAAGTGTTGCATAGATTAAGAGGCTTTGGTGGATAAGTCACTTTATACTTAAAGATAGAATGTGAATGAGTGTATATGTGAAAATGTTAGAGTAGGTCCAATGGTAGATAAGATTAGAGGGAGTCACCTTAGATGGTTTGGTCACATAAAATGTTGGCCTTCTATGACCTGAATAGGATAGTAGATATAATAGATCTAACCTATGTTAAGAAATATAGAGGTAGACTTTAAAATACTTAGTTAGAAAGTATTAGAAATGGTATTTTTTAATATATTTAAAAGACAACTTGATTCTTAATAAGACAAAATGGATAAAAAGATTCATGTAACTGAACCCACACAGTTGGATAATAGCTTGACGTTTTTGTTGTTGTTGTTGTTGTGATGTGCACTTGCAAATAGGTATATATTATCATGTTGATGTTGGGTATGCGCTGCAATGAGGATTTATGAAACCATATGCATATGTGAAGTATCATATTCCAGATTTGCAAGGATTTAGTCAATTGTACATGATAGTCATGAAATGTTATGTTTAACAAAGACACTCATCATTGCGTGGCATGATGGTGAGAGCATTTTTTGTTTGAAAAAACAAGTGAGTTATACTAAGTGATATGTCCACATACTCATTTAAGAAGTAAGTGAATAAAGTTGTGGTTGCTAGAATGCCACTACATAACTACATAAGTCATCATCTCTCTTAAGATGATTTAAAATTCAATACAATTGATAGAGATCAATCATATATACCTCATGAAGTGTATGAGTTTCGAAATTGGTAGTCATTATTAGATCATGAAGAAGATGCAATAGTTTATATGGCACAAGATGGCGAAGGTGCTAAGGAGATATAACTATGGGACCAAATGGCCTATGATTTAATGAATGAGATGAATTAGAAATTACTTTCCATTCAAACTTTTTAAAGATATTATTAATCTTTTTTAGTAGATTCGACTGGTTTATGATCACATCATAATTTTCTTTTTATTTTATTATTATCTAACTATTCTGAAAAAAAATTATTATTATTCACTGATAAATAGTCATATAAATAACATTTTTATTCTTAATAATAAATAATTTCATTCAAAAGTTATAATATATTGGCTAGAAATATTTAAGTTGAAGTAACTACAATAAGTCATCTAATGTTGGATTCATTTAAAAAAAAGAAATATAGTATAGATAATTTTCTTTGAGCTTAATATATATGAAAGTATCAATATAGGCTTCATTTGGGATGGCTTTTTTCCTGCTTTTTAAAGCGGTTTCTTAGTACAAAATTTTTAATTTTTTTACTAAAAAGCTACTTTAAGAAGTGATAAAAAATCAGTCCCAAGCAAAGCTATAATTTGATCTTATACAGCTATAGCAATTTTAAAATCAGCTTTTTCAACAACAACGTCACAACCTAACACCTTAATGAACCATCTAAATTGTAAGATTAATAAGTTTATTAACTTGATCAAGTAAGATTACATACATCAAATGATAATTTACTACCTAATTGCCGTTAATGCCGGGTTATCGGCTCAATTACAACTGGATAATCATTTCGTGCTAGTTATGTGATAGGGACTTGACAGTTTGATTATATATATATATAAGGGATTTATGTGAAATTCCACTAAGTGTCTTTTTTTTTTTTCAATTCTAATAGCCTCCCAATCACTTATGATTTGCTCAATTAATTAAATTTTCTTTTTAATTTCATTACAGTTAGATCTGTTAGCATAATTCAAAAGCCACCTTAACCTTAAAAAACATTATTCTGACGCCATCTTATAACTTCTTTTAATATATTTTCTGCATTCCGTTTACGTTGCATGACAAAAACAATTGACATTTATGATAATATTTTTGTTTTTTTATATCCTTCATGATTAACTAAGGCCTCTAAAACCCCTTAATGAAACTCTATATAAAGTACCATCTGGCAAAGTCACAGATATACTCCTTAATTAGCCATCCTTCTTTGTTTCTTAAGTAAATAGTAAAGGTTCTAAACTGCTATGGGTAGTTGGCTTATATTTTTCCTTACTATTTCTTCACTTTTATGCCTCAGCCCCATTTCTCACGCTGCAAGGCCGACTCCTGAATATTCGCCCGACCCAATCAAGGCTGTTAATCTTGGTGGATGGCTTGTTGCTGAGGGGTGGATCACACCCGATTTGTTTGATAACATTCCGGTTAATAAAGATCTGTTGGTAAGACTATCATATATGTTCATCATGTTGTATAAATACGGGCTGCCCTTACTCTGATATTTGAGATAAAACTACTAAGACTATACTTCGAAAAATATATTAACTTTTTATGTATTTAGCATTAATATTTTTTTAATATTTTTATTAAAAAATTTATTTATTAGTGTAATTCATCATAATTAATATTGTATTGTTTGTTTAGCATTGATCAATTGTATTGGAGAGGTAAAAAGTAAATTATTTGATGAATTTAATTTATTTTTCTTGATTTTGTATTCTGGTTTATATATATCAATTATTTTGTATGTTTTAGGATGGAACCCAAATACAAGTTAAGTCGGTAACACAGAACAATTACCTCTCAGCCCAAAATGGAGGTGGTTCGACAATCATCGCAAATCAACCATCCGCATCAACATGGGAGACTTTCAAAGTATAGTAGCTTAATTGCATCCACCTTATTTTGTTATTTGAATTAAAATTTACAATATTAATATGGATCCTAAGGTTATCATTTGAATATTTCAGTTATGGAGAATCACTGAGACAACCTTTCAGTTTAGAGTCCTCAATTGGCAATTTTTTGGCATCGATGATAATGGGAATCTAGTGGCCACTTCAACCTCTTCCGATGACTCAGATTCTTCACATACATTTTTTATCGTGAGAAAAGATGATGAGCCCAATCGAATACGAATCAAGGCCCCAAATGGTTCTTTCTTACAAGTAAATTCAGATGCAACAGTCACTGCTGACTATACCGAGAATACTAACTGGGGAGATGATGATCCATCAGTGTTTATAGTGACAAATGTGTATCAATTGAAGGGGGAGTTTCAGGTCACCAACGGTTATGGTCCAAATATTTCTTCCTCTGTAATGACGGTGAGATGCCTTAAAACTTTCAATTTGATTGATTATTCCTGGTGAATTCCCACATATGAACTTTAATTTAGAATACTAAGGTTATTGAATTTTTAACCAATATATAATTGAGATTTATTTAAGTATCTTATGCATCTACTTTAATACTAAATACAAAGGCATCAATAATTGATTCATAAAATAATACAATGAGATGACTATTGGTGCCTATAGAAACATTGGAATAGCTTCATAGTGGAAGATGACTTCAAGTTTCTATCTGATAATGGATTGAATGCTGTGAGGATTCCTGTTGGGTGGTGGATACGATTTGATCAAAACCCACCCCGCCCTTTTGTTGGTGGATCCCTACAAGTATTAGACAATGCCTTCTCTTGGGCAGAGTAAGCATATAATGTTCTCTAATTTTGCATAATATCTAAAAGCCTCTTACATTAACATGTGGATTTTCTCTATAGGAAGTACAATATAAAAGTGATCATTGATATTCATGCTATGCCAAGTTCGCAAAATGGCTGGGAGCATAGCGGAACAAGAGATGGATTACAATCATGGGGTCAGACTGATGACAGTATTGATCAATCAGTTGTTGTGGTCGACTTCCTAGCCTCTAGGTGGGTTAGTTTAAGTTTTGATCTTCATATTATCTTTACATATTAATTTATTCCTCTTTTTTGTTCATATAGGTATGCAAATAAACCTAGCTTGTATGCAATTGAGTTGATCAATGAACCATTAGCTCCTGGTGTAGATTTAGATAGTCTAAAAAAGTACTATAAGGCTGGCTATGATACAGTTAGGAAGTACTCAAATGTATTTGTGATCATGTCAAATCGATTATCGATTAGTGATCCTACAGAGCTCATCCAATTCGCAAGCAGCTTCTCAGGCTCTGTTGTTGATGTCCATTACTACAACCTCTTCTCAAACATTTTTGAAGGCATGTCAGTGCAACAAAATATTGACTATATATACAATAATCGAGCTTCTACTCTTAGTTCCCTAATGGTTTCAAATGGTCCTCTTATATTTGTTGGTATGGATAATATTCTTTATTTTTTTATATTTATATATTGCTTATATATTATCTTAGTTCTCATATGTTTATATATGATGTAGGTGAATGGGTGGATGATATGGATGTGAACAATGCATCAAAAGATGATTATCAAAGGTTCGGATCAGCCCAACTTGATGTTTACGGGAGGGCGACCTTTGGGTGGTCATATTGGACTCTTAAAGCTGCTCAAAATGAATGGAGTTTGGAATGGATGATTACAAATGGATACATAAATGTTTAAACTTTTCCACTTTATCAATTACAAGTTTGGGCACCGCAATGTACATGTATATTAAGCTTTGTTCTCTATCTGTATCTGTGGAAGACTACTTGATGAGAAATATTTGAATCTTGGTTTGATCATTTATGCCAAAGTTTATGTTTATTCTCTTTAATTTGCATGGCTAAGAGTATCTTTAAACAGTGTGAGTTTATGTGCTTAGATAATATTTTTTTATGGTACAACTATTATAATAGTTCTCGAGATATTTCAAGCAAAACATAATAGGATCAATCATTAATATTTTTATATAATCGATCTTTAAATTATTTTACTAAATTTCAAGAAACAAACAATTTGAAAGAAAGGGATAACTTGGCTCATAAAATATGACTTACAAAATATTGATAACGCAACAAAATGTATTTATAAGATGATGTTCGTGGAATAGATGAGTCAACCACCCAATCAAATATTTCAAGGAATATCTTAAGTGTATATTAAAGATTAATTTATAAATTGCACTCTTATAAAATATATTTCAAAAGCAAAATAGTAAAAGCAAAACAAGAGACAAGAAAGATTCACTTACTTCACACACACACACAAATCCCCTAATTTCAACAACTCTCTCCTCTTTCTCACTCAAGAAGCCAAGTTGACTAACACCCTAGTTCTCTCTCAAAAAGCTCTCAATCTCTTAAACCCGAACCAACAACACAACTCCTTATCTCTTATTCACTCTTACTGCTCTCGGCTTTATAAAAAAGAAAATACCAAAAAAAACAATTTAATAGGTAAGCAAGAACTAGGATAAGGCAAAAAATAAAAAATCTAATTTAAAGAATAGAAATAATACTTAAAAGAAAATGCTCTAATTAAAATTAACTAACTTAATAAGTATTTTTAATTAAAATTAATTTTATTTTAAATCACTCATACAATTAAAAGAATAAAACATGACAAGATTGCCCAATCTATAAACATTACTTACACATGTTTAGGAAACTTAGACAATGTCTGAATTTTCTAAAAGAAACTATCCTCTTATCTTTGTAACCATATCTGTAAGATTATCATTTGTTGAGATCTTAGTAAGTTTTACTGCACCTGAATTTATCAAATCACACATGATATGATAATAACAAACATCCAGATGCTTTGTTCTTTCATGTAAGGCTAGATTTTTACACAAATGCAATGCACTATGATTATTAGTAAAAACTATAATGACATTGTGAAAAATACCAAGCTTACTAAGCAAACCTTGCAACTAGATTAAATCATTCATAGCTTTTGTCACTACAATATACTCTGTTTCTGTTGAAGATAAAGGTACAATTGACTGCAAGTGAGATTTCAAACTAACTGGACCACAATAAATCAAAAACACATAACATGTAATAGATCTTCTTCTATCCAAATCTCCTACAAATTTGAGTCAACAAATTCTATAACATCAACAGCATCAGCACCTATTCTAAAATAAATATCCATGTTCAGAGTTCCTTTAATATACCTCCGTAACCATTTAACTGCCTTCCAATGTTCTAATCTTGGATTAGATATAAATATGCTCAACACACTAATAAAGAAAGTAATATGTGGTCTAGAACATACCGTAACATACAAAAGAGACCCAATGACACTAGCATAAGGAATTTTATGCATCTTTTCTGTCTTCATCTCAATTTGGATACTGAACTGCATATAATTTATACTAACTCCCAAGATGAAAATTGTGAAAGCCCTTAAATTTTTTTTAAAGAATTCTTTTCTTTATCTAAAACATTAAAAAATTATTTCATGAGTCATTATCAGTCCAAATTATAAATCGATTTTGTCATAAAATAGATATTATTTTGTTTTATCTTCACAAATATTTTCATAACTTTTGGACTTAAATGAAATTCATTAAGAAATTATCATTTTTAGCACAGATGAGATATTTGAGATCGTTATGTGTCTGTTTTTCAAATTGATTTCATCAATGTCTTTGAAACATGATTAGCTAATTTATGAATATTTTTCTACAATTTTTAAATTCTCATATTTGAAAATATAAAAGAAATTTTGGCTAAAATTGAATAAATTATAGAATTATATTATTATTTTAAAATAAAAATCTAAAATCACTTAACTTATTCAAAAAAATCCTTTTCACCTCTACTATTCGACCAATATATAGCAGCTTAGGGAATTTAGGGAAAAATTTGATGGGAGAAAAAGTAGAAATCCGATTTTGCGTGACTTAGCCATTTTGTCCATTGGAGAAATTTGTTGCTCTCGAGGTATATCATATTATGCTCATCTTAATTTTTAAAAATATGATATTTTTCTGATTAATTTTTTGTTTTCATTAGTAAAAAGCGTTGATAACTTTGCACCGATAAAACTTTTATTACGTGATTTTTTATATGTTATAAATATTGAGATTAAGAATATTTTGAGTATTTTCTAAAAAATTTTCAATGGAGGTTTTCGAATTTTTGTGATTTTTATTATATAAAAATTATCTGAATATTGAACAATAGTGTTGTAGTATAATAATAATTTTAAAATGTTGTTTTACCAATCTCTAGTAATTTGATTATTTCTAAAAAGTGCATTTTTTCCTAGTAAGATTTTCTGTTGCCAACCGATAGAGAAAACTATGTAATTCTAACACATGATCAATTACATTTTAATTATTATAATATGATATAAATTTGTGCATATGTGTTTAAATAATATTTGATGGGAGATACAAGTGGCTAGAATCCTTTAAGAATTTTTCAGTGTTAGGAAATATTTTAGTGCCTATAATGCATGTTCTTATGGCTATAAATAATGTTCTAGTGCATACAGGTATATTCTGGTGCAATAAGAAATAAAACAGAGTCATAAGGTACAAGAATCTTCTGAGATTATATCTGGGTCCGAGGAATGTGATGTGAATTACAATTTATTCATCTGCTCAATATTATTTTTTTATAATAGGATAATTGTTATGCCCGTATTATATTTCTCAATAAAATAATTTATTAGATTATATTTAACTGATTATAAATATTCAACAAAATACTTAATAAGAGAATTTTAAAAATTTAGAGCAGTTTATATGGCGTATAAGCTGTTGCAGCTCATTGTGATTTTGCTTCTAATTTTTATACTCTAAAAAAGGGAAGGAGTTTGTAGATTAGCAGTTTAGGATCAGATTTGAGTTTATAGCTATTTTCTTGTTTTGATTTTTGTACAATAATGGCTAGTTTATTATTTAGTTATGTAGCTTCTACACGTAGACATGTACTATAAAGTAAATACATTTTGATAATTAAAAAAATTATGGATTAGTTTATATTCAATATTTGGATATTTTAGTGACTTTGTAGTTTATGATTTGTTTAAAATGAATATTGAAAGAAAATTAAAAATATTTCAAAACTAGATATTAAGATTTGTCTGTCCTAGCAGCAGAACATGATAAGACTTATTCTGATCGAGTTGAATTATGACACAAACTAACTGCTCTAGAATCTGACATCAAAAATCTTTTAAGAACCTTTTTAAGATAACTTTTCTTAGACATGCACAATTGTCTTTTCCTGCAATCTCTTAAGATTTTTATTTCAAGAATTTTCTTAGCTTCACCTATGTCCTTTATATAAAATTCAAAATTAACAGCATGCTTAAGCTTTTGAATTACTAAACAATTCTTACAAGCTAACAACCTATCATCTTCATATTCAAGTGCTGATAACAACACATATTTATGAAAATGTACATAAACATATTTCAATAGTGTTTTAATGTTTCTTTTTTCTCTATCACATGAAAATACATTATCACTGTTATTTTCAGTTGTGTTTTCTACTTCTAATTATGGAACACTAGATTGTTGTGGAATTTCAAAATTATGATTGTTAGTTGGTGGCTCCACCTCAAATTCATAATAGTCTTTATTTGATTCTATATTTTCAACTAAACTTACTGATTTATTTTTACTTTTTGATTAAAAAATATATAATATGTCTTCATTAAAAATTCTCTGTGCTAATTATAGTCTTAACTCCAGAAGAACTCAAATTCATAATAGTCTTTACCTTCCTTCAAATATTCTTCTCAAAATTTTGACGACATGAACTAGTGTAGCCATTTGAAACAAACACCCTCTACAACTTCAATTCCTAGTAGGAAAAAGATATAGATTTTCATTTTTACCAAGCTTGACAATTCATATACAAATATTAGCTCAAGAACTAATGTATAACAAGAAAAATTTTAAAAGCTCCTTTGAGGTACAATTAATGTTTTTGATCAAACCACAAAAGTGTTTGATGACATATCATTTTGCTTGTTCTCCACAAAGTTTCTTGAAGATCCAACTATGTAATAAGTTTTTTATAGTAATATATCACATGAATAAAAAGTTCATTATCTTCATTAGTGTTATCGTGATACAAGAACATATTTTCATAGGTATTTTCATTCAATAATTTTGTTTCATTTCATAATGAATTTTTGTAATATAGCATCGTCCTACAAGTGCAAATACATATGATCTCTAATATGAACTTGTTGAATGTTTCATTTGGCTTTATAAAGAGAGCTTTGTTGATTATTTGTTTCTATAAGAGACAAATTAGAATGTTTACTATAATGCAGATTTTGTAGTGAATGAATACTTCAATTTCTCTGTTCATTTATTGTTTGAAAGCTGAAATGATCCAACCATTCATTCTTCCATCAGATAGCTATTGACATGTAATGCAAAATGCTAAAGTTTAGCTACAGCTGGCTCAAATATGATTAAAATTTATGTTATATCTTTCTTGAATACTGTAACTAAATTTTTTGTTCAGTCGAAATTTCATCATCTTCGGTTGTATGTTTTCGAATGCGTAATTACTTTTAAATACTATAATTTGAATTTGGGCCTAAAATTCTTTTTGAAGTTGTCATGAATGTTTTTTTCTTTGAAGAATGGGCAACATTTTTTTAATTGCAATGGCAGTTCTGACTGCCAAAAAAATTTCACATTACAAAATTTTTATGAACTATTTCTAGCTTATAATCAAAGTTCCTACTCTCTCTACCAACATGTCACATACTATCTCTCTCTCTACCAATATTATATCGCATTCTGCTATCAGTATTAGAGTACAAGTCGCGAAGCATTTCATTTAGACAAGTTCAAAGCGATAATTTTGATTGAAAACAAAAAGGGTTTGTTGGGAAGAAAAAATAGAGTGCGGCCTGTAGAGCACATGTCGAACAAAGTGGGGTTGCTCATGCAACAGATCTCTCTATAGATTTTGAGAGAGAGATCTGTGAAAGTCATTGCCTTATGTTATGGCCCGAACCATTCTATTATCATTCAATAAAAGATTCGGATTCATTCATCCATGCAGAGCTTTTTTATGTTTCAGATGAAAGTAAAATGTTCGTTACATGCATAATTAATAAGATCCACTTTACCTAGCTTTCTCACTTTAAAAGCGTTAATTCACTGAAAAAATAGCAAATCAAATCAACATGCTTGCTCTTGCAGATAACCATAAATTATTCATTATCAATATAAGCAGCGAATCAGATAAGATGTCCAACGCCAAAGCAAGCAAGGAAAACACTTACGCCTCAAAGACTAAGGAAAGAACACACTGAAAGAAGTAAAATTGACAGAAAGAGAAAAGTGAATGGAGATGGAAGAAAGATGGCAGCTGAGGATGTGAGAGATGGGGATGGCGCCTGGGACGAACCTGCTGGAGTGATTTCCGGCGATGTTGTGGGTGCATGAACTGCCATGGAATAATAAGGTTAGCTTAATGCATCATTGTAAGGTTCACTTAGGTAAACTGCGCAAAAATATTGAAATGTTCCAAACAAAATAACTTTTTTGAAATTATTATGTGCATTATGATCTTGTTTCTTTTACAAAAGTTGGATGATAATTTTCCTAAAACTACTACTCTTACATGTTTAGTAAATTAAAATATATCTAATTATTTAAAATTACTTCTCATCATAAACACTTTTGAAAAATAATAAAGAGATACCACCAAATAAAAATATAGTTGTTGCGTGCTGGGATATTCATAGCCATAGAATGATAGAGTTTAACATCCGAATTTTACATGAAGATCTACATAAAGATAAGAAAGAAGTGCAAGAATTGCATCAGAGTTTTTACTTTGAAAACCAAAGAAAATGAAAAATTATGGGACTTGTCCCAGTTAAAATGATTCCAAAATTATTTGTTATCGATTAAAATATTTCCCTTCCTCGAGAGAGAGCATAGATACACAGTAAAGAACATGCTTGCTAAGATGAAGTTGGAAGAGCATTATGGCAAAAATCCAACATAAATCCTAGTGCAAAAGTTTGGAGTCAAAGTTGATATTGACGACATCCACCTATCTTATAAGTGATGCCTATCACTGGCATTATTGATGATGACAGATGATAAAGTCAATAAGTGTCAAGAGTAGCCAAAAACCACTAGTTACAAGAACCATACTCGGGCAATGGGGTCATAGGATTGTAGTCAGATCGATGATAAAGGTTAGATGACTGTAGTTTGGACGATAGGGGTTAGAGGCTCGTAGTCAGGCGACGGTGGTCAGAGGACCATACAAATACGAAGGGAGAAGGGGAGAAAAGAGGCTGGTCCAACCCAGCCATCCTGAAAGAGCCGAATCAGCCCTTGGGCTGGGCGGAACTTTCAGCAGAACGAGAGAAAAATTAATGTTGTTTTAATTCCAATTTTAATTCAACATAAGAGGGATTTAATTAAGATAGTAAAGTTGTTTGGGAGGGAAATAAGAAGAGCTAGTTATTTTGTTATGAGGGTTATGAGTGTTTCATTTATTTGTTGCAATGTCTAGGTTGATTGGGAGTGTCGATCTACCTCTCAAATAAGAGATTCCATATATATTTCATTATTATAAGTATTAAAAAATATATATCTCATATCTTTTTGTTCCTGCACTTCTTATTTATTGTGCTGTTTTCACTTCGAAATCGTATCAAATTGGTATCAGTTAACCTTTTTGGGACCTAAGGAGGCAAAGGTGGTGGATGTGTTGGGAGGCAAAGTGGAGCAAATCAAATATGGTTGGTGGAGAAGTTCTCAACCATCAAAGGAAAGCTTTCATCCATGCAAGGAAGGCTCTCATCCAAAGAGAACCACACTGAAAACTTAGAAGATATGATGAAAATGATCGAGATACAGTTGAAAGCTTCACTGACGATTCATAGGGTCGAACCCAACAGAAAGAAGATTCTGGAGATGATGAAAAAGCTTATGGAGATGTGATCCAAAACTCCATCGATGGTCCCAATTGCTGACCCTACCCAATATTTAATTGAGATTCCCTTGGCCAAATCTAAGGGAAAGGAAATCGAATTGAAAGGGTTCGACGAGATAAATTTCTTCCATCAAGAGTCACCTCCTAGGGCTCCGATAAAGGGTGGATCAGAGTTTTCGGAAGGGGAGACAACAGTGAGGGAATTTTGTGGTGGATGTGGTAGGGTGGTTGACTATTATGGGAGGCATTTTAGGAAACAGGAGTGTGCGAAAAAGATAGTGGGGGAAAAGCTCAACCATGGATCAGGTCATGCTAGAACGGATGGAAGAAAGGTGGGAGATCCACACTCAATGAACGGGGGGAAATTGAGGGATCATGACAACCACTATACTAGAGGAAGAAGCTATTAGGGCAATGACGATCCTAGGGTGAGGAAGTTGAGGATGCCAATATTTGAAGGGAAAGATGCCTTTGGGTGGGTTTACTAAGTGGATATGTATTTCATGGTGAATGGATTGAATGAGAAGAAGCATATGACACGGGGCTTTGTCTGCAAAGGAAAGAACTAACTCAGTTCTAGTGGACGAAAGCATGGCCACTGACTGAACAACTGAAGAATGCCATAACCACTGTCCCATCCTTCCACCTTGAGGATAAGGTGCATCTTTGAGGGGGAAGTATTGATACGAAGGGAGAAGAGGATCAAAGAGGTTGGCCCAACCCAACCAAATCAACCCTTGGGTTGGGCCGAACTCTCAATAGAATGAAGGGGGATTTTGGCACCCCCTTGTGGGGCCGAACAAAGCTATAGATCATTATGAAAGGAGAGATAAGAGGAAGTTATTTTGGAAAGTTTTAGTTAGAATTGAAGGAAAAAATTCTAATTTTGAATTGAAATAGGAGAGAGAAATTAATTAAGGCATTTAGGGAATTAATTATTATTTTAATTCCAATTTTAATTCCAATTTTAATTCAAAATAAGAGAGGGAATTAATTAAGATAGTAAAGCTGTTTGGGAGGGAAATAAGAAGAGCTTATTTAAGGCTATTTATTTTGTTATAAGGGCTATGGATGTTTTCTTTGTAGTTTTCTTCTTGAGGGCATCCTAACGGCGTTTAGGTTGATTGGGAGCAAGGTTTAAAATTGCGTAAATAAACCTCGAGGCATTTTTTGTCCGTGAGGCGAGGCGTAAGCCTCGAGGCGGTGTGAGGTGTAAGCCTCACGAACGAAGAATTGTGTAAATTATAATTTAAGGGTTTTAACAAGTAAATAATAGTAAGATTCTATTATACAATAAAAACATCTAAATGACGAGTGAAATTAGTGGAAAGTAAAAAAATAGATGCAATAAAATCATATCCCAAAATACATAACCACAAAATATAAGTCTATCAAAACTCCGAAAGTACAAATAAGAAATAACATATTAAATCAAATCATATCATATCACTAAATGGGTCTTCAAGGGAATCTTCTTCTTCAATTATATCTATGAATATCATATCTTCATCATCTTCAATTAATGTTACTCACTTTTCTCCACCGGATAAGTGTTCCTTCATGCGAGTTACTCTTGCCTTCACCACCTTATCACAAAAATTATATTTTAAATATGCATATATCTTCTCGCCGCCTCCTACATCAACTTGCACACTGTATTTCCAAGAAGGGTCATGCTGCAATGACGTATTTGTCTTTTCCTTGCCCCTAATCATGTTTCTTAAAGCACAAATGCAAAATAAAATACAAAAACATAAAATAATAAGCATATGTATGAAATAATATTGTCCAAGAGACAAGAATTCACATTTAAATTTCTCACCCCTTCCTCCTCTCCTATAGAGTCCAATGTCTCTCAATCAAAGCATGCACTCATGAAGAAGCAGACTAACACTAACAACTATTACTAAAGATAATGAATACAATAATATATCGGGCTGTCGGGGGTCCAAGGGGGCACTGCCCCCTGACGGGGTTCGACCTGCCTGGAACAAATTTTATTTATAAAAGTAATTTTGAAGTTCTACTTATTTTTAAAGTTCATAAGTCCTTTGTATGGAACTGAGCATGTACCTAGCGGTACCAAGCATGTACCTAGCAGTACTGAGCATGTACATAGCGGTACCGAGAACTATGACCCTAGCTTTCCTATAAGTTGAAAAATCAAACCCTAAACTTTAAAAAAAAAAACCTTAAGAACACTTGAAGAAGTGAAGTAGAGAGGAAGCCAGAAACAAAGGACTCACCGGAGAGAGGCGGCGCCGGCGGGAGAGGTGGCGAAAATGTGCGGGAGAGCCGGATCGAGCGTCTGCATACTTCCTGCGTAGCTTCGGTTGACGTCCTCGGTCAGGTAAGTGAGTTTTTGGTCGAGTAAGTGCGTATAAGGAAGAATTTAGATGTTTTTAAAGCAAGTGGGCCACCATATTAGAGGCGTACGCTTCAAAGGAAATTGCGCAATAACACTAGTGAGGCGCGCCTCACTCCATCAGAGGCGTACGCCTCATGATGCCTGAGAATTGCCTAGGCTTTAAGGCTATTTTGGAGCAAATTGCGCAGAGGCGCACCTCGGATTGCACAATTTTAAACTATGATTGGGAGAGCCGGTTTATCTCTCGAATAGTATATCACTTGTATCTTACATTATTGCTTAAGAATTAATAAAAAAAGCTCATATCTTTGTGTTCATGCACTTCTAGTTTATTGTGTTGTTTTCACTTTCAAATCATCTCATGTACCCAATAGGCCACGGAGGTTATAATATATAATCGAAGGGCGAGAGAGATCAAAGAATTGTAGTCGGCAAGCGATGAAGTTCAAAGGACTATAGCGAGGCTGACCTCGAGCGATGGGAGTTAAAAGATGGTTGTCGAACAATCGTAATTGGGAAACGAAGGTCAGAGGATCTTAGTTTAGCAGCGGTGGTCTGAGGATTGTAGTCGGATGACCATGATCCAAGGACTATGTCAATGGGCGAAAAAAATTCGAAGGACTATAGTCAGGCGATGGTGCTCAGAGAACCTAGTCGAGAGATGGTAGTTAGACCACCATAGTCGAGCGATAGTGGTCAGAGCATCATAGTCGGGCAACGGTGGTTGGAAGACTATAGTTAAGTGATGGTGATCCAATGACCATATTTGAGTGGGAGGTTGGAGTCTAATAACCTGAAATTGTGAAAATAGTTTTAAAATAAAAAATATATAAATTTTGGGTTGGAGTGCTTCCATGGTGTTGAGCTATATGTTTTATAGTAACTCTGGGAGCCGCATATAGCGATGCAGCTCCAAATTAGGAGTGTTACAACATTTAGCACTAAAAAAATATTTTATATATATATAAATTTCTCCACTCAATCCTCCTCTCCCCCCTATTGCTTGGGTTGCCAAGTAAGGAAACAAAGAGAGAAGGAGATGAAGAGGAGAGGAGGAGAGAAAGAAGAGAGAGAAGGCCATTTGGGTCATTTTTGTCCATCGATTATGTTTTGAGATTTATTA